AAAAGAGTGTATACAGGTAGGGCAGCAAAGTGTAGCGAATATTCAAGTAATACTTGGAGGTTTTCACCAAGACTGAATCAGGTCCAAACACAGCCGGATCCTGATCCTGAAAACAAATATCAGATGATTATTATTTTCATCATGCAGAAAACACTCTGCCAAACATGTGAAAAGTGGCTGTGGTTTCAGAAAAGCAGAAATTCAGTGGTGCACATCTGCACAGTGTTTGCCTTCTGGGTGGTGTGACCTGAGGTCCTGCTCCTCCAGGATTCCCGTGCTTTACACTGCGTGTCCTTCCTTGCCCATCTACATTGAAGGCTCATTGGGGTTAGGCCCAGGATTCACCCTGGCATGCAGGCAGGTGCGTGCTGAAGGGATCCCAAAAGTCAATCTAATGGGTCATACAGCAGTAAGTGCTTGCCCTTGATGGTATGCACAACCCATGGTGATGAAACTGTTGCCAAATAAGTGTAGTCTTAAAGTATATATAATTAACCCTTATGAAGTTGAACCTCTGAGATCTAGGATTTCATAAAGAGAGCTTAGGTTCTGCCATTTCAAACTGGTCAGCTATGTAATCATCAGTGATAGTAATCATTACTAGCAATACTATTAAAGGGAATGTGGTAGTGTAACACAAAGCATTTTGTAAAAGAAAGCACAACTTACTATGAATCCTTCAGAATTGTGATTCCTGGAAAATGGGTAAAATGCTCCTACTTGCATCCATCGTCTGCAAAGTTCTTCTGTGGTGTCATCAAAGAAGCCACAAATATCTGCTCCAATCTTTAAATAAAAACAGGTTGTGTTGGATGTGCAGTACATTGCACCTCTAATCCCTACACAAAACTTCTAGTTTTCAGAAATGCATTAATTCAGCCTTAATTGCTAGCCAGAGTGACTGAACCATTCAACATATTTGTATCTTTCTTCTTTCAAATTCAACCTTGTTGTACAAAAAATTCAACTGATTACTAGCTAACGCTGCCCATCGCTCTGTTTCTTCCAAACTTTTACCTTCCTGTTTGGTGTTAATATACATACATTAGGAAAAAAGCTGAAAAGTCATGCAAGTTTAAATCATGGAAAGGAATTTGGCTATTTCCCTTATAAATGGATGTCTCTAATTTGAAATAAGAAAAACAGTGAAATGTTTCACATTGATCACTAGTAGGTGATCACAACAGGTAGCTTGGGATATACAAGATAACATGTTTGTTACCACCATACACACAGACACAATAATCAAAATAAGTGGCCTAAATCAAAAATCAGTAATTGGAAAAAGAAATCATAGAATCATAGCGTGATTTGAGTTGGAAGTGACCTTAAAGCCCATTTAGGTCCAGCCCCCTGCCATGGTAAGGAACATCCTCCACCAGACCAGGTTGCCCAAAGGCCCCATCCAATCTGGCCTTGAACACTTCCAAGTGTGGGGCATCCACAGCTTCTCCGGGCAACCTGTGCCAGTGCCTCGCCACCTTCACAGGGAAGAATTTCTTCCTAATATCTCATCTCAATCTCTCCTCCTCCAGTTTAAGGCCATTCCCCTTTGTCCTATCACTCCATGCCCCTGTAAACAGTCCCTCTCCAGCTTTCTTGTAAGCCCCTTTAGTTACTGGAAGGCTGCTCTAAGGTCTCCCTGGAGCCTTCTCTTCTCCAGGCTGAACAACCCCAGCTCTCTCAGCCTGTCTTCATAGTAGAGGTGCTCCAGCCTTCTGAGCATCTTTGTGGCCCTCCTGTGTTAAAGGGAGATTCCTAAAGGGGATTCATTTGAAGCTGAAAATGTAAGATGGTTATCTAGATAGCGTTTGATTAGATCATCTATTATCATAGAGGTAGAGCTACTGTTTATCCATATGTTTTGAAAGGATGTCACAAAAATAATGTCATACATAAGGAATTCCAAAGAGGTTAAAGTCCAGTATTCCAGGTATTGCCCATTTTAAGTGATCCCATGTTGCTGCATTATCTCCCAGCCAGTGTCCTGTGTGCTTTCCTGATCCAACAAAAGTAGACCTCGAAATAAGGAAGCTTCGTTTTCCAGGAAACAGTGCTTCGATAACTCTTAAAAGGAAACAAGACTGGAATTATGCAAAAGTAAAAAGACAATTTGGACATCAATAGTTTTATATAAGGCAGATTTACACTGACTGATTTACAATAATTGTTCATCCCAGGGATGTGGACTCCTTTACAGTTAATCAGGTGTCTTTTAGCCGAGGTCAAGACATTAATTTTAAACAATCTTTTTATACAGCTTTGACAACCAATGTGTGGCTTTTATTACCAACATTAGTTAGCAGCTTTAGCTGCATTGGCTTAAATATAATACAGTGTTTTCCAGGAATTGGGTTCCTTTAGAAGTGAAATCTCTTGCTTTTTTGAAAATGCAGGCCATGTACTTTTCTGAAATCCTTTTGTAAAGATTTTAGGATGTATTCCTTACTTCTGCGTTGATATGGCCATGGAATATCCATAAAGACTGTGGACGTCGTAATGTTTCCCCCATGTCTGCACTGCATCCATACAAAGTGTCTTGGAAAACATGAGCTTATCAAGAATACCTTCAATAAAGGAATAGAAATACCACTTTTAAAGTACATTTTGATTCTGACTACTTGCAATCTTTTCTTTAATGCACATGCATGACATTTAAGCCCTTTTTCTCTTTAATGTTTGCACTAAGGCCAGTATTACTGCTACAAAAACAAAACGCTACTCTTGGCTGCTGGTTTGATTTATCTTTGCTCTGTGACCTTTTCTACTCTTGAACTTTGCACCCATGCAAAGAATAACTGAGAACTACACTCTAAATTTCTGAATCATTATCTGACAACAGGTTGGCAATAGTTACTTAAACCTACTACTTAATACAAATTATGAACTCCATTTTAATTCTGCATATATCTCAAAAACTACTGATAGTGAAATAAGATCATTATATTATCAGACATAATTAAGGCAATAATAATATTCAGTAATAATTTGAAAAGGGAAAAAAGCTGGTTACATGAACCATGCCTTCCACAAGGGCCAAAGTATACTGTTATTTTCTGTCAATAGTAATTTTCAAACTCCACCCATAAGACCTACCCTAAAATCACTTTGCATCCTTGTAGCCAATTGCTCAGTAATTCATAAACTTTTTGGTATTTTGCTTTCTGGTTAAAGCAGATGGACTTACTGGGAGTGAAAGGAGGATAGTTCAAGTCATTCGGCGCACAACCTGTTTTTGAGCCTTGAACGAAGTTGGATATTTCATTCATATCCTGAAAAGATAAGATGCAGAATGTAATAAAGTTTCCTCAAGTACATTTTTGTAACAAAGTCTTACATTCTATTTTCTTATCCTTTAAGGAATAATTACTTAGAACTAATACAATGCAATTAGGCAAGAACAATATAGCTCAGACACTGACCTGGTCTAATCCTGTATTAATGTAGGTCTCAGTGTTGGATAGACTTCTATATCCAGGTGAGCATCATGTCACCTTATCCCTCCCCAGAAAGAAACTGCAAGAGGTGTTCATCTGTACATTGTCCCTACCTATGACCAGCTCCACACATCGCTCAATGAAATGTCTTTGGTATGGAGCATGTGTTTGCAGAGAAACACAGAACCAGCAAACGTACGCTGTGACTTTCTGTCAAAATACCCAAGGTGACTAGATGTTCTGAAACATCTCATTTATAATACTTTCCAAGTCATTATGCTTTCAAATTTTGCTGTCTTCTTCCATGAATATTGTATTTGGCAATGCCGTAAGTGCATTTCTGTGTGCATCCTTGAACGTGCTGCAGGAACAGCATGCATGGAAGAAGAGAGCAAGTTCATCATGGAGGCACTGTAGTCTACTGACCAATTTGCTTCACTCAAATTATTTGATCTCTGTAAAAGAGCTGTGCAGTCTTACACTTCATAGCTTGACTTGATGGAACCACAGAGTCAGAAAAAATAAGTGAGAAAAACCTCATTCTATCACGTAGCAGCTGAAGGACTGTATTTTGCCATACAGGTTAATTTAAAATTGTTACAGCTTTTTAAAATGTATGACAAAATTTTCAGTAGATTCTTGTTTTAATTCAAAATATATATTTATTTTTAAGTAAAAGGAAGTAGGAAAAACACAAAAAGAATAAAAGGAAGGAGGTGCTGAGACAGGGATTGAGAAGTTTAAGCACAGATTTCTTTCAGGCATCCACTTTTAGAAGCTTTATTACAGGATATTCCTTTAAAAAATGAATCTAGTCAGTCAAAATGGTTCTTAATCTCATCTGATTTGCATGAACTGTACCTAAAATCCATCGTGCCAGACTGTATTTTAGTCCTTTCCTGGGACAACCTGTCTAGGGAGCCTGAATTTTCCAAATCCTTATCTGGAAGAGCAATTGCAGATTCACTAATTCCACAAGCTACTTGGAGCATAGATACAGAGATTGTATGAAATACACTGTGTATTCAGGCCCTGTTTAGGACACATGCACTGAGCAAGCGTGCAGGTCTCTAAATGTTGCCATTTTGAGTGCAGGAGTGGGCTAGCATTTGCCTTTAGCAATGGTTCATCAGTTGAAGCATTTTAAAGTGTCACTGGACAACCAAAAAAATAGCACACTGATCATTTAAATGCCATGACTAATGATTCAAATTAAAATTTAAACTTCAAATTTGAATCGCAAATTCAACTCCAGAAGACATCCACATCCTGCGCTGATTTCAGGTTAGTAATAGTAAACATCCCTTTCAAATTCAATGCAAAAAGAATTTGATAAACTTCTATCCTTAGCTAGTAATAAAAATTAAAGTTCTGTATTACTTACAATCCAGATCCCATCATATGGCACTGTGTTATAGAACAGTTTGCATTCTTCCACCCACCAGCTAGTGCACTCTGGGTTGGTGAAATCTGGGAAGACAGTTTCCCCTGGCCACACCTGCAATATTAAAAGGGAAATAATTAATTAAACTTTTAATTATGTTAAAAAGAGTTCATAGAATCATAGAACAGCCCAAGTTGGAAGGCACCCTGAAAGATCATCTGGTCCCACCTTTCATGAGAAAGGGAACCCAGATGAGATCATTCTGCACCCTGTCCAATTGCATCTTGGAAACTCCCAGTGATGGGGACTCTACCACGTCCCTGGGGAGGGTGTTCCAGTGATTGATTGTTCTCATTGTAAAAAGTTTCCAGTGCAACTTGTACCTGTTGCCCCTCGTATTCTCCATGTGACTCCTCGTGAAGAGAGAGCCTCTGTTCTCTTTGTAGCTGCCCTTTAAATACAGGTACATTGTGATGAAGTCCCCCCAAACCTTCTCTTCTCTAGGGAGAAGACACCTAACTCCTTCAGTCTTTCCTAACAGAGCAGGTTCTCCAGCCTTTTGATCATCTTTGTGGTCCTCCTTTGGATCCTCTCCAGTCTGTCTGTCTTTTTTGAATTGTGGGGACCAGAACTGGACACAGTACTCCGGGTGCAGCCTGACAAGAGCTGAGTAGAGTGGAATGGTAGATAGAGATCACATCTCTATCTCTGCTAGTTATGGCCCTGCGGAATGTCACCAGGACCCCCCATAGTTGGGACATCGAGGGCAGTGCTCACATAGTGCTCTGCTGAAGACTTTTGAACAACAAATTGCTAGAGCGACAATAGCTTGTGTGCAGAAAGAAGTCAGAAAGAGTATGAGTTTCTTAACTTCAGGGTTTTCAATTGGTTTTCTTTTAAGTCATAGAAGGAACAATACACAACAGAAAAAAATCTCAATAGAAGTTAAAATTATATATTAAAAGGATAATGTGGGAGCTGGCTCTTCAGTCACTACTGAAAATAGATAGGAGCTGGCTGATGAATTGTCCCTTGAGACTTCAAGTTACCTTAGTTTTCCTTTTTGTTTAATGTAAAAAACTGAAAAAAAAATATCCAGAAAGTTTGAGAAGTATCATATCCTAAATGAGACCTTATAAACTTAGTTCTTACTGACAGGTAATTTTACTGAAAGCAGCAACTTAGAAAATGAGAGTTTAAAAGGATGCTCCTGACCTAAATTAAACCATAATAGTGACAACAGACCAAGTTCAAATTCATAAAAATGCAATTACCTCCCCAAGTAATGGTGTTACTCCATCTGATTCATTAACCCAGACTTTTTTGCTCTGTCCCCTGATGTAGCTTCCATATGGACTACCGTCAACTAGATTTTGTGTGCTAATAGCAGGATCCTAAAAAAAACCAAGAAAAACCACAAACAAAAAAACCAAGACACATTCCATCAATTATTATAGACTACTAGAATGTTAGACAATAAATCTAATAATTACATAGAATAAGCAAAGAATAATAATAGTTATAGTATTTACAAGGGAAAAAAATAGCTAAATGCTTACCAATATGATAATATATTTTTGTCCATATTCATGCATATAAGCTGCAAAATTAGGGAGATCTTGAAACTTCACTTTATCATAAGTAAAATCTTTCCTTTCCTCCATATAGTCAATATCGGTGATCTGAGCATCCTGAAAGAGAAGGGAGTTCAGCTTTAACACGAGAAGTGATGCGTAAAGATTTGGTATGTTAGTTCAACGTAATTTCTTCCGACAATTCCTGGTTATCCTATAGTGAATTTATTGTTGGGACTTTACTGCAGCCTGGCAGAACTTATGCTGTCAGGACCACTAGCAAACAATGTGCATCTCATCTCGTACTTACATACCTAATTAATGGTACTGACACATCTTTTGTGCCTAAAAAGACTCGCATTTACCATTAACAGAATTTAAATGAATGTGTATATTGGCATCCTTTCTAATAGCCCCTGGGCGTGTAGCTATTTCATTACAGTTGCCTGACTTCAAGAGCTATCCCCTTAAATCCAAACATTTTTTCCTCAACTCTCAGCTTAACATTAGGGTATTTTTATTCTATATAAGCCATCAGACTAATGTGTCCTGAAATCTAATTTCAAAAGTTAATTGTACTTTACCTTTGGCTCTCAATTAAGAATAATATATGGTCCTATAATTGTCCACTGGACAATTAAAAAAAAAATAATCATGGATTAGGTAACATGAGAAGATAAGTGGATATAGTTGGAAAGTATAACTGAAAAACTATTACAACAAATTGCTTAAATATAACTTCCTGTAATTAAGCCCCATCATGTCCCATGTTCTGATAATGGGTCTACCATTAAAATGCATAAAAACCTTTGACACCAAAAGCTTATATATTAGAAATTTACTAATTTAAACTGATATGAAATGAGCCAGTTGCAGAACACCATGGTCAGGATACCTCTGGGTCATTTCTCCTGCAGAGCTCTACCTTCACAGGGTTGCTGTGCTCCTCAAACCCCATACTTACGTAAGGGAGTCCAATCGCCCTGTTCCTCTCCACAACTTTCTTCACCTCATCCAAAGACCCGTAATTCCAGCGGCTGATCTGGAAGCCCAGACTCCAGTAGGAAGGCAATACTGGCAGTCCCACGAGCTGCAAGTTGAGAGCAAAAATCCCATGCACTGTCAGTGGACACCGCATGTGTCACCTCAGCGCCCGTTTCTCTAGATCCACACTCCTCGAATCTATTTGAATAATATACACTAAGCTTGAGTGTGTGAAATTAGCAGCCCACACCCAAATATAATATTTTTCTATGGTGGGTTTTTTTTAAAAATTTTAAGAAATAGAAATAGTTTGGGACAATGCGCATTCTTTAAGGTGTCACTGAAATGTAAGCAGATCTCAAGAAGTACGAGAGATATCAATGATACTTTTTGACCATAAAATCATGACATACCTTTAAGCATGTTATCTACCCTATAATACTGCCAAATGAACAGGAATTTGTGCCTATAACAGTAATGAGCCCCAGCAAGGAAGCGTAAGTTATTCCATGTAGACCATCTCAGACTCCAATGACCACTGTGTAAATGAGTCAGGCCATACAGACAGATGGATTTAGCAGCTTCAGACTTCTTGGACCTCGAGCTGCCGCATGGTCTCTGCTCCAGCGTCTCCAGAGAAAGTAGTGCTTGAGTTCCAGCTGCCCGTAGCAGGACAGCTAAAAACATTTACACCCCATCTTAACCCCAGCTAGCTATTTCTAATGACAGCAGTCACATTAGGGACATACTAACAGCTATTCTTAATTAAATATATACTGAGTCATATTTTGAGTTAATGTATAAGATAGTGAAGACATACTGTTATATAAAGTGGAAAAAAAAATCCCAACCACCAAAAAATCCCAAGCGCTTTTAAAAATCTGTTCAATGCATAGTCTCTTGAGCTAAAGGTACCTGCAGGTACTCCTGGACTACTTGCTCTGGAGTGTTCCCCAAGAAGATATAGAAATCAAGGATCCCACCAGAAGTTCTGTAGGTCACTGCTGGAGCAGGCTGCACTGCAAACTCTGCCGGACAAGAGTCACGAAACCAATTATGAATATCAGCTAATTCTAAAAGAACATTGTGATTTTCTAATTGATGATTAGACAAATTACTTAAGAAAAAAACCCACAAAACAAAACTACCTAAGAAACCCAAAACCATTAATTGAACTTGTAATGAAGGGGGAATGTATTCAGATGACTCTTTTGAATATCTATATTTCCATTCATTTACATCCTACAGAAAAAAGAATCAGAAGAAATCCAATGGCTCAACCTTTTTTCTTTAAATTTTTAGTACAACTTTCTGGCATCAAGAGAGGTGAAGAGCTCTGTAAAGTAGACATATATGCATGCTTATCTATAGAGACTAAAGAACATTTACTTTCAAGTATTGCTTACTCCAAATTTAGGCTCCGATTCCAGAGTCCTGCACATCTGCACAGAGCTGCACAGGCTTCGGATAGGTTTCTGATCCTCAGGTTTCCAGCGCAATCTTCACGTTAACTGTGCGCTACTCACTGCTTACGTTGCGTACGCTAAACACTACAGTTTTGATCCCAGTCCCACAGATCATTTACAAAGTTATTTAACTGCAATGCTCAGAGC